TTTTTTTGTAGTTTTTGCTTGAAATCGGGGGAGGAGGGGGGAACTGGGGAATGGAGAATGGAGATCCTGTAATGATAAGTTTGTCTAGGGCCTGCTTGGAATTTGGTGTAGACTTTCGGCTCTTCTGTGGCTAATAGAATAATTCGGTCATTGATCCCAAACTTCTCAAAAGAGAAACGGGATACAAACAGTGAGGTGGGGTGGTGGTAGTTGACAGGATGGGAAAGTATGCCCTGTATTCTTACTAAAAGAAAATTGTCGGGGGGGGGGGAGTTCGTCCCACGTGCCTTGTGTTTTTCACGTGATCCGGCCTCTTGCCTTCCCCTCCCAGGCGCCATCGTATGTACAAGTTATTACCTCTGACAAACTCTGATTTCGGTTTACCCGCAGTGTTGATTAAATTTACAGAAACCTTCAAATCGATCGCTGTTTCGTTAACATCAGGCAGACCAAGTACCTGGAACCAAATCTACCAGAATGCTGTTTACAATTTCTTTCGCTCAGACCATTATCGTTTCTGGAATGCCGAACCCTCGTTACCAGCGGTCTTCCTTACTGATTCCGCGGACTTCCGGGGATACATGGTACAGTGTTACCATAAGGATTGTGACGACATGAGCCACGTGACCCCAAAGAGGTTGGAGTTTTTGGGGCAAATAGCTGACAGGGTGGTGGAAGTGGCCTCCAGCATGACAAATGAAAAATGTCACGGTAAGATTACAACCATTTTTTCTTTAGGCCGGAGGTCACAGGTTAATTACAAATGCATTAGAGCCAGCATGACTACTATAGAAAAATGTCAAAAACTTTTAGTGGGGTGAACTATATCATGTCTATAGAGGGTCCATTCTTTCACTGATTTTTACGGGACCATTTTGGTGCAAAAATCTCATCAAAATGTGTCGCAGATTTTAAATTTGAACAACACAATGACGTCAAAAGCAAATAAGTCCTCTTTTAAGGCAAGCATAACTGTTCATTAGAGTATATGTTTTAATGAATATCATTAAAATCGACTGCCACGCTCATTGACGACATGTTACGTGCCAGCCAATTTGGTGGCCCTTAAATCCCAGATCAAATAAAGACATAGAACTGTTGAGTTTTTCTCTTTCAGTGAACACGTAAAATTTATGTTCTTACAAAACTGGAAACTCGGTGAAGCGAACGAGTCCAAATCCAAACAAAAAATTGGTGGTCTATTAAGATTGAGAAATTTAATCTCAGAAAAAGCGAAGTTCTCGTGAGATATTTCATGGCATCATGCTACTCGAAAGCGTTGCATACTTAGTATGTTATTTGTACTTAATTATTATTGACTCTTTTGAGAGTCGTTAAACCAAAACCAAAGAAATCACTCTGGCCAAAGGACATAGACAATCCAGTGAACCAATCAAAACTCGAACAAAACGCGTGCGGCTGATGCAAAGCGCGGGAAAACGTGTGCCAACGAGCCACAATTGGTTTTGGCGATCTTACTTTTGAAAGTGGCGCGCGTTTTTTCAAGCCAATAGCGTAGCGTTGTAATGCAAAACTTGTTTCTTTGGGACACTCAAGTAAAAGCCGCTCTATGCTGTGTCTCCAGTTAGCATGTGTGCTAAGTTAGATTGACACTTAAGTAAAGTTGTCTCGTATTTCATTTCAGAATGGAGTACTGCACATGGTAAGTGAGTTATTTAGGTGATCTTTCTGTCTAAACCTAAGCTCTAAAGGGTTGAAAACTGGAATCAAACAATATTCGAGGTCCAGTCATCAAGTGCCTCCATGGTCATGGTGAATTTGTTTGCTTGTTTCCTTGATGAGTATTGTTTGCCCGGCGGAATCGGATATTTAAGGTCGGAGATGCTCGTCGGAGAATTCGAATTAAACCTCCAAAGTACGGTAGACCAATCTGGGCGAGACGTCGAGCATGCCCGAATTTTTCACATGGAAGTTCTCCTTCCCCGACCAGGGGATTGGTTATTCCTATTGAACTGTCTTCATTAGTGCGGTTTTGTAAAGTGCAAACATTTCTGTTTTTCATGAGCGTTAAGCGTGAGATGAAACAATGCTCAGAGTGTAAATAGTTCATGTAATTCTCACTGGTCATTGCGAAAATTGCCCCCGGATTATTGGCCAGGGGGATCCCATATTTAAGGGTCGGAGATGCTCGTCGGAGAATTTCGCCAAATGTTGTTAGTACACCTTAAAAAAATAATCCTACGTTGTGTCGGTTTCTGCTTTTGTATCCCTCAGATTGAAACTAACACTGAACAGACGCGTCTTTAGTCCTTTTAGTCAGCGGCCTTAGTGGACCATTGTCAGTTCTGGAAGAACTTTATTGGAAATAATTAAAGTATAAATCTATGCAGTGTGAGGTCTTAATGTCATCCATTAACTTTTTCATTTTCTTTTTTTTCTCCACGTGATAGGATATCGTCCAAGGATGTGGCAAGTCATCAGCCTATTCGTCATAACATTGTTAGCATTTTGTCTGTGAGGAAATGTAACGATTCTCTCTCTTTTGGCCGACCCACGACATCTTAGATTCACACGTAGATGAAATTCTAGATGAAATTTGCATTCTCGGGTTATGTGTGTCCCTGCACCTCAATGAGAAATGCTTGTAAAAGCACAAGAAAGCAATGTAGTTTATTTTTGAGTGCAGCTGATTGTATTTTATCTTAGTTGTAATCAAGAATTACAGTTTAGTTTAGTAGTGTTCATATATTTCAGTCAGTTATACAAGATGGATGTAGTTCTGGCAGCCAGGAACCGTCAGAGTTTACGCTATCTATTTGTTGGCTTGAATTGTGAGAAATTTCTTAATTTTCAAACTCTGAGCCTGAAGGTTGTTGTGGAAAAGGTTATCATAAAGCAAGAGCTTGCATAAAGTATTTTACAAGAGAGATTCTCGACATTCGGACTTGTCCGCTAAATTTTTGCAGTCATAGCAAATTTTGATCATCGCTTCTACGCGTTACGTCATCACATACCCAAGGAATGCTACTTGTTTTACAATGCACGTGCCATTTGTATTTTGTTGAATTTCGCTAGAAATATAGCAAAATATAAATACACACCATACTACTGTACAAGCGTTTTGTGCTGGTTTTTTTTTTTTTTTTTGATCGGGGTTGAGAGTACGCTTAAAGACAAATATTCGGGCCCGAGTACTCCCGAATACACCCGAATACAGATCGACGCTCACGGCGTTTACCAAATTACCGATGTTGATCTACTCGACGACTCCTGACTCGTACACCTGGAATATCTTGCTAGAGTCTGGACTGTTATTCCTGATTTGCACTTGAATACTTGACGTGTAAATCGTTGAATACTCCAAGTTTATATCACGTGTGGTCTGCACCTTGCCGGAACACTCTGTGGAAATCTAGGGTGCCTACCATAAAGCCAAACAAAATCTGGAAATCTGGTTAAAAGTCATGTGGAGCAGTACTTTTCCGAAAACTCTCATCGGAAATGCTAGACTACCTCCAGAGGTACTCCTCTTTTTCCGTTCAGAGGTACTTCTCTTTTTCCGTTCAGAAGTGAACAATATAAATTTCTAATCGCTAAATTTGCCAGCACCCTGCCAGCATTTTCCCCTCTTTTTTGAGCAGAGAAAAGGATTATTGGAAATCGAATTGTAAATGGTGACTTCAGGGCCGTATTGGGGAATATTGATTGTGTCAAAGTGAATCCATGTTCACTAACAAATTAACCCGATGGTGAAAAATATTCAAGGTACACCAACCTCTATGAGGTGGTCGACCCTTAAGCGCTTAATAGGGGTTCGACTGTATGGGCTAGTTTGGTTTTGTTAGGCCATACAAAAAAATTGAAACGTACCGTCCTTTGCAAAGAATATTTTATTGCCGTGTACACCCTCTTTCCTTAAAATATTTAATTTTTCATAACCGTTCCTACACCCACTTATTTGAATGAATTGAATTTATTAATTGAACCAATCTCGACGTACACAGCCTTACCAAATCTTACCTACAGCCTTTAAATACTAACTCAGCTGAGGAAATGAATAAAGCAAGTGCTGGTTTTGGAAAATAGCCGCTGAGCCACGCGCGGGGTTCCCAACTTCTTGCCCATAAAAAAAAAAAAAAATTGAAAACATGTACCGTATTTCTACCGAGTTATAGAAACACGAGTGGAAGTTTGGGAGAACGAGAAATGCTGTGGGAACACGAGCCGACAGGCGAATGTTTCCACAGCTCCAAACTTCCAAGAGTGTTTCTATAGCTCGATAGAAACACGGAGAACACGTTTTCTATTTCTTTCAGAAAATTTTACGACGAATAAAAGAAAACAACTTGTTTACTCAGATTTCTCTTTGCTCGCGCCATCATTACGTCAACAGCTAACGCTCGTGCTAGTTCTGTGTTTCTATTAAGTTATGGAAACACGATTTTAAACCAATCAGCGCGCGTATTTTCTTTGGGCTATTTTCTTAATCAAAATGTCACTCGAAAGCTCACATGTAGGAATGTTCGATGAGGGTGTAATGCGCAAATGTCATGCTACTTAGCAACGTCGTTGTATACACACCGCGGGCTCAGGTTGGTAGATTTAAAACGGGTTATACAAAGGTACAAGCAAAATTCTCGAGCTTTCATCGCGTCAATTAACTAAAAAAGACTTCGCTTCTAACACATCATCGTGTTAATATGGCGAAGTTTTGTCAAAGTATTTAGAATTTATAAAACTACTTACGAATTACTTTGACAGGTGTTCAAATTTACAAGAATAATTTAAGAAATTTAAAGCCACTGCCTTCACCATGCCACACTTGGCAAAATCGGAAGTGCTGTTTTAGCATCAGAAATATTCTCTTTATTTAGAAATCTACACTCGGTCTCAAGTTATCCCCGTATCCACCACCCACTCTACGCGTAGCGCCATTGGAAAGCTGGGTACAAGATTAGACTCTGTTTGGTAAAAAAGACTACGAATTTCAAAGTAACATCAATCTCGCCTGTACTAGAAAGTTTAAAATCTTGCCGAGACGAAAGTATGTCTTCAAATTCTTCTCCAAGAAAGTTTCACCAAACGTCTCCACATCGCAACACGCACATACATCGAGACATCCCCTGAACGAGTGTATGGCTGACTGCTGTCACCTCTGGTACCTTTGCAGTAGAGTTGTGTAGCACGCGTCACACACGCGGACAGGCTTGGCCGAGGAAGGAAGGGGCATGGTGTAATCCGAACAAGCGTTGCAAAAGATACCACCGCAGTTACGACAATGATGCTGAAAAAAACAAAACAAAACAAAACAAAACTTAACGAAATGCTTCCACGAGTCGAAAACAACTCTAACTAGCAGTTCAGGGTCAAATGGTGACATAACACGAACAGCAACTTGTTTAAGTTACGATAAAACCCCGCAAAAAATTATCAACCACAACAACAACATTAAAACAAAGCATAAGGCTTAAAATAACAGAAGTACCAGTTAAAACTGCTACTACCTTTCGTCTGGCCAAAGAAAATGGCTGGTTACACTGTTGACATTGCGCAGTATCCTTGTCTTCAGCCCACTTCATGTCCTGGAAAATAAGGTGCGAAAAATACATCAAAAACAGCTCTCCTTTACCTGGCTTCACCAGATTGTGCTACAAAAATGCTAAAATTTTGCTCTAAAAATTGCCCAAAAGTTACTCGAAAATAGACAGTTTACGAAGTTTACCATAACAACTGGAAGTGTGCTTCCTACAGCTGTATTTTCGAGATCATCTTAAGACTTTCTTTAAAGCCTATAAAGACGTTCCCTGAGTCCTTTTTGGAATGGACAATGCACTACGTGGCATCATCGTCGTAGAATGCGTGACGTTACCTTCATAGATTGCGTGACTTCCTTCATTTCTTCAACTTTCTGCTGTGAACTGAGCCAGAAAATACTCAATCAGTGAAAAACAAGAAAATAACGATCAAGGGACTAAAATTACACAAAAAATGACAAGCTGTGCTTACTTTGATAAGTGAGAACCCATTTCTACAAGAGCCTGCCAAAATAAACGGAAAAAGAAACATTACTGCGCGGACTATTTCGTATAACAATTCTTTCTTGCTTTCGTGCTTGAAACCAATGCCGGAGAATAACCTTTTAAAAACCTCGTATCTTTGACAATTAAAATATTGTAATCCAAGCAACAAAACAGGTACCCACCGTTTCCTGTTCTGAGTAGGCCTTTTTTAAAGACAGGTATTTCTCATGTAATACTTGGTATTCCTAGAAATCGAATAAGTTAAAACGTGCAGTTTTTAACAATTTTTTTTTTAACAAATCAATCATTTTTGCAAAATAGCTTAAAAGCTATTTTCCAATTTTTGCGGCAGGTCTGTTGAAGTATAGATACTTAGAAACTTGCTACTTACATGCAACATTCAAGGATTATTTAAGGTGTAGAAACAAGACAGAATCTAAAGCACACTGTGTTTAAAGCATATCGACAGCTAACTTAAGGCTTGTTTCCACATAATCGATCGCTACTCTTGCTTCGATCGTCCAGATAGAACTATCTCACGGCTCAGCGATCGAGGTGCAACGATCGCTGGAGAATGGTTTCCTTACGCCTGGTTCACACTAGCGACATCACGACATCGACATAACGACATAAGGAAAAGATCAGTTTTATCTTTATGTCGTTATGTTCACGCTGTTATGATGCAAATATGTCATTATGTCTACAATGTCTTTATGTCGCTAGTTATAGCTTATGTCGCAATGTGAACATCGACATAAAAGCATAAGGAAAAGATCAGTTTGTTTTTTCGTTATCTCGTTATATTCATGGTGTTATGTTGCCATCATGTCATTATGTCGGGATGTTCACACTGCAAACAACGATATAACGTCCTTGTTATGTCGTTATGTCGCTAGTGTGAACTATGCCTTATGATCACAACAATCCCTGAATTTAAATATGACCTGGTTAAATCCAAACGGCAAGTTAATTTTCTACATTTTCGACAAGAAGGTGACAGTAACTTACTAAAGCCAGCCCTTAGTAAGTTACTGTCATCTTACAGCCCAAAACAATAGTAAAAATAACTTTCCATTTTGATTTAACCAGGTGGTATTTACATTTTGAGATAAAAAGGTACATGTATGTGTTTACAGGTTAGTCATTCTTCACTGACGTAATGGCTACGAATGTCATACGTACGTGTATACGACACGAGCAATTTACTTCTTACTACATGAACAAGGATCGGTGGACCTTTAGACATCCTCCAGTTATTTAAATTACATTTACATGTATATGAGGCCTTTTCTTTCTTTATCTTTAACTTGTCCTTAAAGGAGCTACATGACAGTTTGTGCATCTTGAAAAGTTTAGCCAAGTTCGTCGTTTGCAATCCGTGTTAATCTTTTCCACCCTTAACCATCCTTGTTATTTTATGGTTTATTATCATTATTTTGGAGTTTTTCTATCTTAGTAAACTTCTATTTTCAGGTTTCCTTTGATGGAAATGTAATTTTGTACCTGGCCAAAATAACTCAGAATATCGTGACTGAGCTCCTTCGAGTCAAAATTACATCTATCCAAAATGAGCACCTTCTCATACATAAAACATTTTGTTAAGTACCTTTTTAAGTTTTTCAAGTTGTTTTAACTCCATTTGCATAGCACCTATTCTCTCCTTGTCTTTAACTGATTCTTCTTGTAGACTTGTCCGCCATTCGCGTTCTATTTTGAGATTGGTGTTTAATGCAGTTCTGTAAAATGAAAACGGATACATTCATCTGAAAAAAGAAAGACTCTATTTGAAGTTTTTCAAAGGCTTGTTTTCACTTTCTTAGTGACAAAATTCCATATTAAAACAACAAATTAAGTTTTAGTTTTGAGCGGTAACCAGGGGCAGATCCAGGATTTTTCTTACGATGGGTGCACCACTAAGGAATGGCGTAACTGACTGCAGAATACCAGTTACATTAGAAAACTGTATGCCATCTCAGAGGGAGGGGAGGGGGTACATCCACTGCATCTTCCACCTAGATCCGCCCCTGTTAACTCTGAATTCAATACGTTCAAGGGTTTCTTAAGCCTTCCGTTTACAAATTGATTATTATCTACAAATGTATATAACTAAAGATTGTGTAATTCACTTTTTACATCCAAAAAGATAAATAGTCCCATGAGAGCAAGCACAAAAATAATAATGGTAAAATGGCACAAAACGCCATAGTTGATTTCCACATGACATAACGCAGTCAATTCAGACAATGAAAAGGCTGATTAGAAGCCATAATAATCCCTTAATTAATAGATCACAGACTGATCCCCTTTCCCGTTGGCATGTTAACCATTCCTTGTTTAACAAGGAAACAAATCCTTTGAGCAAACATTTGGTAGTGAACAAGCCCTGAACCTGCCAGGATTTATGCAACAAAATATCTTTTTCACCTTTCACTTTCACTATCCGCCAGTTTATTATTTATCTGGTCCACCAAGTTTTCCGCTTCAGTCTTCTTTGACGAGACTTCACTCAGACTGAACAGAACAAAACAATGTTAACATAGAAAAGATCGGCTTCCGCTATAGTTTGCAAGAATAGGCGCGCTTTGCAGTCAACCAAGATTCCAGAACTTTCCAAATGGGGGCAAACAGTTCGGAAATTCCTAGAGGACAACTAAAAAGAACGGAAATTCCTGATAGGAAATTTTCGAAAATGTGATTATTACGCGCGACGTTGTCTCCTTTGTCGGAAGCTTCATTCCATTTATTCATCACCGACAATTACCGGAAATTTAAACCGAAACTTTTGGTTCAACAGAAAGCGCCACAGATGTGTTTCTGCTATTCAAAAACCCACGGGTGAGTTTACCACTATCCAGCTTTTAGTATAGCTTCAGTTACAAAAATGGGAAATAATTTCGAGTTTTCCCAAACATCCACAAGTTGTTTCTACAGCTCTATGACGATACAGTAAGAGCGAAAGGAAATTAAACTCACTTCCTTGTTGCAATGGTCAAAATATAAATTCTCTATGCATGCGCAATCATTACGTCAACTTCTTGCCCCAGTTTTGTTTCTAAAGAGCTGTGGAAGCATGGCTCTGAGCGTACGCATTTGTGGCACAGGTGTTTTATAATATAAGTTGCTTCCCTAACCTGGTTTCCAGTTCCTTGGTATGACCAATCATCCTCGCACATTTCTCCTCCAGTTCTGTCCACTTGTCCATGTGGTCCTTGGTTGATGACTCACTCAACTGAAAGAACACAAGAAAAATAATCCTTTAAACTGTTGTTGGAACTCAGTCTCTCCCTGTCCATTGAGTAGGAGGCTAAGGTGAAACAGGGTTACTTTCTAAGAAAGGTAGTACTCAAGGTGGTACTCGCGAAACTGGCAATGTTGGATAGCCACTAAAATCTGCCCATTCTTTTTAGCCCTTATGGTTATTTTGGGCAGGTAGTACTCTATACTAATTTAATGTTTATTGTAATTATTTTATAAATTGTGAGTACAAATAAATGGTGGTGGTTGTTGTTGTTGTTGTTGTTGTTGTTGTAGGACAAAGCTGATGTTCATGTATTTCATGTAATGATGTTGGCTACAAGTTCGCTGACAAGTCTCTCTTCTTGCCGGGCGAATTCAGTGCTGGGTGCATGCTCTTTTATCTTGTCCCTTCACACGCCGCAAATCGTTTTCTCGCTAAGTAGTTAATGGGCACAGGAGACACTTTGTTAAGCCTACTACCGGTACTGCACTGGCCCCAGTTGTTCAAAAGTTGGAATAACGCAAGCCACAGATTAAATCACTATCCAGTGATTAAGTGCTGACAGAACCAACTGCGCTATCCAATGGATAGTGATTTCTTCGGTGGATAGCGTTATCCAACCTTTGAACTACCGGGTGTGGTTTTAAAAATCAAGTTTTCAAGGAACCTGAAGCTTGTTGTGAAGTTCAAGATTGAGTTTCTTCACATCCTCCAGTTGTCTTCGTATTGAGATCAGCGTGTCCTGCTTGTCATGGATGTCCTTCTCTAGCAGCCGCATGGCAACCTGTCAAACAATCAATACAAACCAAATGACGTTTATTAAAGGGGCTTGTCAAACCATACCGCGCATGCACAAGATTTGTTTGACACAAGTTTAAAAAGGCTTAAATGTAAGGCTTAAATCGCACTCAAGAATTGACGCCAGACGTTAAAAGCATAAAATAGTTGTAGACTCTTAAGACGGAACGCAAATGAGTCTTTCATTGACGCAGTTTTTGCAGTTGATTCTAATCGGAGATAAACAGCAAAAAAAAAAAAAAAAAAAAAGAAAAAGCGTGATGTTGTAATCAAACTAGCTTTAATAGTAAATATGTTTCTGGCTTTCTCCTTGCCTAAGACAAGTTTAGATATCTTGCTCTTAATCCTGATAAAGTAAGCCCCAGCCGACAATGAACAAAAGAACATTTATAAGAATGAGTCTGTTGCTAGGTGTCATACATCTAATATAAATCACACAGTCAGTGTCAACAACAAGCACTCACTTCACTTTCTTCTTTCATGCTCCTTGCTAACTCAAGTTCCTTTTCTGTTTCCTATAAATTCACCAGAAACACAAACAATTTAGTGCTCAAGATCAGTATTTCTGTAAGAATATCATACACCCTTCACAAATTTGACTAAAATTTTCTTGGCTATTCCCAGGATGCTATTTCCTCAGTTTGCAACGTTGTGAAAGAAATACTTTACACAACAAAAGTGTTATTAAAAATTGAGACCCACATGTAACAAGGCACTTCCCGAGTTAAAGCCAATCAATTTGTCTTCCTACCTTCCTTAGCTGTATTTCTGAATCCAGTTGTTTCCTAATGACGTTGTACATCTCATTCAGACCTTCCCTGCAAAAACAAAATTTTAAATACCAGTATAAACTACTGAAAACTACCGAAAAACAAAATTGATACAAGAAATTGTTCATAACTTTGTACATGTCCACTCAGCTGTATATTATTCATACACATGAATTAGAGGGAGAGACACAAAATGACATCACTAAAATGGTCAAATATTGGTGTGGTTCTTTTTTATTCAGAAACTGTTGTCTTTACCTTGATTTTTGATATGTTTCCCTCTCTACATCGATATCTGCTTGGGCAAGCTGAAAATGACATTGAACAAAAGTGATGAATATAAATGTCCAGATCTTTCAGCTACCAACAACATCAGGAGAGGTGTGAATCTTACATGAGTGAAAGTTTGATGTTACAACCATCTTTATGATATTATTTAGAAAATAATCTATATTTGTGCAATGTACTCCTGTGCCACATACACAAAACCAGATTGTGGAAACTTCTTGTATCCCTTGTTGGAAAAATTGATATAAATTGTACACCATGACACATTAAGACTCACCTTTAGTTTTCTAGCACTGACTTCATTCATCTGATTATTTGCATCCTGTAAAATGTCTCTCTCTTGCATCAGCTGCACAATCTGTTCTGTACATGAAGTAAGCTGCAAGAATAAAATTAATTAACAATGTAAATCAGTGTAAACACGGTTGAATAACATATATAAACTGACTAGAATTCTGGACCTTAATTCAGTAGTGTATTTCTTGAAGGCCAATTTGCCAACCCTAGCAAACACCACCTTATAAGATCAGTATCCAAAAGGGAAGATATGAGAAGCTGAAGGAGACCACTCATCTTTGGCTGTGAAGCTCATAGCCTATTCATGCGCTAAGATTCTCACCACTTCAGACTTGTGCAGGGAATAAAAAACTGAGCTTTTAAATTGGATTTTGGATGCACATTGCTTTTAATGCCTTATTAACCACACTTAGAAAGCTGGTGCCAAGAAGAACTCAAGTAATCAAACCCATATTGATCACTAAACTGCACAAAAACGCTTTTATGAATTTGTCTACTGTCACATTCATGATGTTTTACATGTAGTTATTACATAAAAGCAATTGACTAGTCAATGTCTACAAAACTATTTGAAGACTGTTGTGGTCTTTTTATATCATTCTTGCATCATCTATTGGCTGATAAAACAACAACAACAACAACAACAAAACAAAAACAAAAAAAAAAAACACACACACACACACATGAAAAATGGACCTTCGTAAAGCAGTATAAACGAGTTGATGATAGTTTATGTACCTGTGTGGAAAGATCATCATTTGTCATTTTGACATTCTTTAACTTTGACTGCAATGTGCTAACTGTGGAACTAAAGAAGTGGCGTGAATCAGTTTAATACACACGTATACATTCTTGTACATGTATTGACAAGTTCCCCAAGCATCTTGTCACTAGTAAGAGTAACTAGTAAGTAACAAAAGCACACTATGTCAAAACACAACAAAATGTAGCACTGTACTATACGTACATGACTGTATCTTTCATCATTTGTGTGCAGAGGCAAAAAATGTAATCAATATAGACTCACCTTAAGTTTCGGTTTATTTCTTCTAAATACGCTTTTTGATCCATAAGGACACGCAAATCACTGTCATCGTTTTCATCCGCTCTGGAAAGAAAATCATTCTCATCTCTAATTACAGTCAGACAGCTTTAGATTCAGGATGTATTGAGACATGCTTTAATTGGAATTTCACTTGTTTTGGCCTGCATGTTACATGTACACTGTCCATTAGCTATTGTAAGTCATAGGATTTAGGCAATTTGAATTCTAAAACCAAAATATCACAACAGCAGCTTAAAACAACAGAAAAACTCAAAAGAAACACAGAAAAGCAAAACAAAAAGGCCTGACTTCAATTTGTAAATATATAAAATTTTATATGTATAACACAGTACAATGCCCTGAAATCATCCTTGTTTGTTATGTGGCTGTAATTTTGCCGAGAGAAGACTTTATTTGAATTGCCAATTTGAAGTTTATAGCTCATAGTTAATGAAGATAAACAGAGTTACCTTAAAATACATTAATGGATTATATGTACATACATGTAGTACATGATTTTATCTCAGCGTGAGTATTTCACTTACTTCTTATTATCCTCTGGTGATTTTTCCAAATAGTTTCCATCCTTGAGATACAAACTCAGGTCCAGAACGGATGACTGGAGTCCAGAGGGAAAAAAAAACATGGTTATTCATGAAAAGGTCAATGAAAAATTTCCAGGTGTGTGTTTAATTTTAATAAAAAGACAACAGTTTGCATTGACCACTCACCCAGACATCAAGGCTATCTCCCTTTAAATCAAAATTACAATCAATTATGTTGAGCGCCACAAGCAATCCAGATACCACTCCACCTTCTTCCTGCATTAATATGGCATGAGGGTCATACCATTCTCTGAGACAAATAAAACAAAATGATTGTGTATTTATAAATGAACACCCCAAAAATGTTTTGACTATAAAATTCTCCAAGCCTACAACTACATGACTGTATTCTATCCGAGGCCAAAATATTCCAGATTTCCACACTGCTCAAAATCCATCAGAATAAGAGCAAAACCACTGTATCAAAAGAACTGAAGCTCTGCCTGGGTGACCATTTGGACTAGAGATTCTCTCTGTATCCAGGAGACTACTGCTGTAGGCAATCTTTGATGGTTAGGAGGTCTGTGCTTACCGAAGCAGGTCTTTGCTCTCGACCATGATCATAATATATTCAGCCAGTTTCTTTTGCATCAGTGCTAATCTGACCCATGCTCTTCCTTTGCCATGATTGGTTCTGAAGAAAAAATTTTAAAAAAAGAACTCCTTAGGCCTAACACAAGTGATAAAAAGTAATAAACATACATGGAGCAACTGTATTATTATTAAACATGTCCATTGATAAGACAATCAACTTAGTGGTGGGAATTGCAACTAGTGAAGCCTTTACCTTTACATGTATCTCTGATAAGAGATAAAGATCAATAAGGTCTCTTGAGATTGCATTGATTTTATGAGAAAAAAATTAACAATAAGTCAGCTCCCTTAATGAGCATGTCATGCTCTTTGAGTCAATGTGGAGCATAAATATTGTTTAAATAATTCGAATAATCCGGTAATAAAAAAAAATAACAAAAATAAAAAAATTCTTAATGGCTGGTTTGGCCAAACTTAAAAATTTGAACTGTATCCTTTGCTTAGCAAAAAATGGTCTATGTCTATAAAATAGTAATGAAGATTATAAGTAATGAGGTCCTGATGGTCCTCAATTTTATTTTTTTCATTTTGGACAATGCTGTATTTTAGAGTTCATGTTCCTAAGAAAGGAAAAAAACAAATGCTTCAAAGTGTGCATATACCTAATGTTTGGAAGATTCTGGACACTCTTTACAATCTCTGATGACTCTGGAGCGACTTGCTCTAATGCTTCTAAAGGTCCCCAGTAGTCCTTTCGGTGACCAAGAATATTGCGTTTCACTTTGAACAAAATAATAATACAAATCATTATGTATTTTTGCCAGATGGTCACTGGAGTTACAGTGTATGTAGATAAATTCTGAGACATTAAAGAATCTAGCAGTATTTTTGCCGAAAGTCCTTTGTTGTTATAGGTTTGAGCACGAGGTCCTCAGCATTTTTGCCAGGTTGCCACATGGTGGAGAGAATCACTGCGCAAGTTAAGTGTTCTGCACAAGAACCAGGGTTAATTCATAAACATTTTTGAATGCAAAATTTGAATTGAAACATAGTTAATAGTCTAGAGGGGAATGGTTATGAACGTGCAGCAAACATCAAAGGAGCAAACAAAGATGCCAAGATTTATGTTGGAAGGTCTACGACCATGCACAATTTTTTCTGTTTTAAGTTCATACACTATGCATGAATTACATAACCAAAACATTTCTATTGGTTAGTTCCTCATTCCAGAGTAAACAACTATTGTGTTTTGTGCATGGTCAAGGCCAAAAAAATAGAACAAAAACACACAGCAAAGAACTTTATCAGGTTTTATAACCATTCCCCTCTATTAACTATGTATGACCGAAACAAAACAAATGATCTTTTCAGACAAAAGGGTATGAGCCAAATGTGAGGCAACAATACAAATGGAGAGACCAGAATGCCAGATAACATCAAGGGGAGGCTTAGAGAGAGTTTAGGATACCATAGATCGCCGCTTATTATACTTTCATAAAAAAATTATTATACTTGCCATAAGCATAACTTATGTAAATGTAGATAATAAAATGCAAAAATAGTGGGGAGTCAAAGGAAATTTTAAAAGAGAAAGCCAAAAGAGAATTAAATCATAAGGTTTCTAAATCTAACAAGCTTTAGTACACAATTGAAATCACTGATGGGATCCCTTACTAAAAGTAAAATAAAGTAAGATAAAAATTTAGGACAATTCTGGATTTCATTTATTATTTAAGCTTGTGGCAGAAAATGATCAGCAAAACAAAACTTTACAATGTCCATCGGACTTTGATCTTTTTAACAATTAAATTCAGGGACATAGATAAAGAAAATTGCGGGTAAATCATCTGCGTCCGAGATGCTGTATAAAGTTGTTTTTAATGGAGCATTAAACTTAATTCAAAACGAAGGTACAAGCTAATAACATTCAAGCTTAATAGTCATGTGACAGCCACGTTTTGTTTCCTTACCGCAAAGTTATTTTCTTCAGGAAGTAAGTTTTAATCCTTCCACTATTTCAAAAGAATACTTTGAAAAGGTCTAAAAAAAATTAACCTAGGCTAAATGCCCACTTACATTTTAATCCATGTCGTAGAATGCTCTCGAGCACGACGAAAAACTGTTGAAATGGTTCAAAAGGCTCGTCTCCAATAACTCTTCCAAGTTTTAGAGCCGAATCGATAAGACTTTTGATGCAAAGGTTTGCGATGTTCAAAAGGTTTAGTCTCTCCACTTTCCACTGAGCATCTCTCTTTGTGTCTGGTGGTGCACTTGCACTAAATGTTCTCACAAGAAGCTTTCCAAAGTTTAGTTCTGTCTCCTCCTCTTCCAAGCTTGCGGACGCCATCTTGTTTTCCTTTGCGGTACGCCGCTGACCGTATGTGATAGTTCACGCACGACACGTTTCTCACGCAAGAATTATGCGAAAAGTTCATTTTAAGCTGCCTGCTTATGTGAATGTAGCGTCCCTTCTGTTTCTGATTTTTAGAAGACAATTCGAATTATAAGGTTTTACTACTCTCTACCAGGCGCGGTGGGTTCATGGTTAGTGCGCTGGTCTCCGGATCGAGCGGTTCGGGCTCAAACCCTGGCCGGGGACATTGTGTTGTGTTCTTGGGCAAGACACTTTCTCTCACAGTGCCTCTCTCCAGCCAGGTATATAAATGGGTCCCGGCGAATTTAATGCAGGGGGGTAACCCTGCGGTGGACAAGCATCCCATCCA